ATTTAAAAAAATTAAGTTGGTACCTGCCCAGGAAAAACTGAACACCCTGTATATGCAAATATATTTTCATTTTGTGCAGCTCGGGAAAGTAGGCAACTCTGCAGAAAAAAAAAGTTATATCTTTTATTAACATAGATATTGGACTTACGCGCACTAGGTGGACACGGTGTATACCCCTCGGCACAAGGGCGTCGCTATAGTCTGTTTGGAAATGAAAGAGAGTAATAAAACCCCGAGATAAGAACCGGCCATGGGCGTGGTAATATTTCGTTTCAGGTAATTATCGGGTAACACTAATGCTAACAAAAATGACAGGGACTGGAAAATCGACTATCTACAGACTTTTAAAGGAAACAAAAAATGAACAAGATACTGTAAATCCCCCAAAATCATCTACAGGGAGGTCAAAAGTCGTTATAGATGATTTCTTCAAAAATGTCATTCGCAGAAAAGTACACTCATTTTATTTTAAAAAAGAAATACCAACGCTAAACAAAATTTTAAGTGAACTTTCTGAGGACAACGATTTGCCAAAAATCAGTAGAAGCAAATTATGGGCCGTCTTACGAGAGTTGAATTTTTACTGGGAAAAGCAGAACAGGAAGTCAGTTCTTATCGACAAAGATGAAATTATTTGTTGGCGAAGATCCTACTTAAGATCAATTAGAGAATTCCGTGACGAAGGGAGGAATATTTATTATCTAGACGAAACTTGGGTCAACGAGGGATATACTGTAACAAAAGTATGGCAAGATAAAAATATAAAAAGTTTTCGACAAGCATTTTTGGATGGACTTTCAACAGGGTTCAAGCCACCTTCAGGTAAAGGGCGAAGATTAATAGTGACACATATAGGTAATGCCAGTGGTTTTGTAGATGGTGGTTTACTTTTATTTGAATCTAAAAATACAGGTGACTATCAGGAAGACATGAACGCAGATGTTTTCGAAGAGTATTTTACCCAGATGTTGGATCTTATTCCTCCGGGGTCTGTAATTGTCATGGATAATGCCAGTTACCATTCACGGCAGACCGAGCGGACGCCTACGACTGCTTGGAGGAAAGCCGATATAATTCAATAGTTATCCGGAAAAAACATTTCTTTTGAAAGAAATATGGTGAAAAAGGAACTTTTGACACTTGTCAATCTTAATAAAGATCAGAAAAAATATGCTATCGATGAAATGGCAACAAATCGTCAAATAACGGTTCTACGGTTACCACCTTATCACTGTGAGCTTAACCCAATCGAATTAGTCTGGGCGCAGGTAAAAGGAGATGTAGCGCGAAATAATACGACGTTTAAATTAAGTGACGTGAAAATTTTGTTAAAAAATTCCTTGGAACGAGTAACTGCAGATAACTGGCAAAGATGTATACATCATGTACAAAAAGAAGAGGAGAAAATGTGGGAACTCGATAATTTAATTGACGTTACTGTGGAACCTATCCTTATCAATCTAGGAGACGAAATATTCAGAGGATGAATTTTAATATACCTACTTTTTTATTTTCTTTATTGTACATTTATACAAGACTACATTTACTCACCATAAGTTGAATTTTCAAAATACATATATTTTTGTGTGGAATAAAAGTCTATTCATTAAATTTAAATATATATTTTGATAATATTGAATAATTTTATTTGAATTACTAAAAACCCTTTTAACCCGGTTATGATGCTTAAAGTAGCCTCATGTTTCGAAATGCTGTTTTTATATTGTTTACTTATAAGAGAAATGGACCGAGAAATTGAAGCGGCACAGACAAAGACGGATTGTCGGGGATCAAATTTTAGTTACCTGGTACAATTTAGTACAGTCCGATCGCACAGTTTTTTTTAAAGTACACCTCATCCTATACCGATAATACATAATATAAAAATATTGAATATAAGCCCAGTACTACATTTATTTACGTTTTGCATACATAATAAGCTTTTATTACTCTCTTTCATTTCTAAACAGACTATAGCCAATGGGTTAGAGGGAGGCAAGATAAGAAAGAAGATGGGAGAAATATAAATTATAGGTAGAAATAGTTACAGTGAATTAATTTTTTTATAAATATTTTTAATAAAACTTTTTACTACAAAAAAAAAACAAAAAATATATCAATAACTAAAAAATAAAGAAATTCAACAAAAATGAGATAAAACATATTCTTCCCGGATTTTTTGAAAATCTTCATGATTGTCAGAAATAAGCTTTATGTGTATACTCGTCATTGCTAGTCCATTGAGATGATTTTGTACCATAGTATTTCTCAGTCAGGTTTTTATATTTTATTTTAATTTAAAATTCACGAGCTAAATTTTTAAAATATGGAAATGTATTACTTTTTAACATAAAATTTTATATTTTTAAATTCTTTTGGCAACAAATATTTATAAGTACTAATTTATTACAATTGTTTTTTAAAAAAAATGAAGGAATGTATTAATTTTCAAAATTAAAGTTTAAGTAAATAAAATACTTTATTAAAAATTTCCAATCGAATATTTTCTTAGCTTAAGAAAATGTTTGTACTTTTTTCGAATTTCTAGGAGGAGGCAGCTGCCTCCCCTGCCCCCCTGCCCCCCTGCCCCCTGCAAATTGTTTATTTGACAAAATTTTGACTTCTTTGGTCTATACTTGTTACCTTGACGTTTCAGGAAAACACGCAATTTCAAATATTTTAAAATATAAATGTCTTCCTTTATTGTTCTCAACATGGAGTCATTTGACAATAACGTAGATGCATTCAACTTTGTAGATAAATCGGAAAAGTATGCAATCATAACATTTTCAGATCAGGAAATGTTTGTAAGCGAATTCGTACTTTTTCCTAGATTTGTTTGGTATTAAATCTAAAGTCACATTTTTGCAGCTGCTACTAATTCTGGTTGTTTCCCGGACACTTGAACATCATCATCATCATCACCAATGTCCATTTTAAATACTTTTTAATATATTTTAGCAATTATAGGTATTAAAACGAAGTTGACTTTTATCACAACTATAAATAAACAATGATGTCAAAGAAGCGATTTCATAAGCAATTAAATTGTAATGAAGAAATGTTAGGAATGTATTAATACAAATTTCTTAGTTCATATTAAATTCACGTTTGCAATTTCAGAAAAAACAGTGGTAGTAAAAGCACATTGTCGGACTCAATGCTGTTTGCATTGTCGCCCGGGAATGTATTGCTTTTACTACTAGGTACCACAATATACTATTTCCTGTTAAGTACTCTTTTTTTGTTAATTTTAGCGTGATATGCACTGGTATATTTTGATATGTCATGGCGATAGGAGATGTCACCTTGCCGAGATGTCTTTCTAGATTGTTAAAATAGCTGTAACAATTTAATAAACCTGTAACTTCTTCAAGTTGAAGCTATTAAGCAAGGGTGTGAATGAATGGGTAAGAAGATGGGTAGAATGCAAGAACAGCTAGCACTGCCATTAAACTTGTTACCATATTCTAATTCTCCACAAATAGAAACACAATTTTTGGTTTTTCTTTTCTGCTACACCAATTTGTTTCATTCCGACAGATTTCAATACAAAATCAATAAATATTTTTTGATGATCTTTTCTGCCTCAAATTTAATATTCTTTTGCTTTGCTTCGATGGATCTTATTGATTTCATCCAAGTCGTTTAAATAAGACGTATTTGCTAGGCATACAGAAAACAATAAATGTTGTATGATCTGTATAGGGACTCATATACAGGGTGTAACGCTTAAATGTGATACAAGCCTCTAACTTCTGTATTCGTTGGCGGATTACAATTTTTTTTTAGTTTTTTTGCTTATAAAACCTAAACTAACGAAGCAATTTAAGTGCTAGAAAATTTGTAGAGAATCGAAATACGAATCGATTCGATCGGATAATTAGAAACGAGAAAACCCCTAAAAATTGGAAAATTTAACGTTTTTTTTTTTAAATTCATTCCTCTGCCATTTTTTAAGTTGTAGATCTGTGCACAAAAGTAGTGAATTATATGTACTTTAAGTGTGCACAAAGCAGAAACTGTCGGACCATTAGTTTTGGCAGAATTGAAATTTGAATTTTTTTGTGCACTATAATCTAATTTTCCGATAAAATGATGCCAAATAGGTGGAAAAATGCCCCAAACATGTTCAAAAACGGCCGAGCGCGCGCACGCAGTCGAGTAGTGGGGGAAGATCGGGAGATGAGGGGCAGTGGTATACAATTTTAAATACTGTTAGTTATAGTATAGTTTAATATTATTGTAAGTGGTGATACATAATAAATAATACCATACACGGAATCACAATGATGTGAAACCTTTGGACACTCTTTGTTTTGTTCCTGACTTTTCTTTGACATTTACACGACATCTTGACATCAAACGTGAATTTGAAAATTCGTACTTTTCTGTTCCAAAGAATACATATTTATGTGCCCTTGTATACCGTAAAGGAAATTTTATTAAATTTTGTAAGATGTTTATGAACGAATTTACAATAAAAAGTTGTTTTTCTTCAAAATGTTTGTGACATTCCTGGTTTTATTCCGGTACCCTTCATATGTATGTTCAAATGAAAGATTTTGCAATAATATTTACCTATTGGCAGATTCTGCTATATGGAAGTCGTTTGTACACTAGATGACAGTGGTATTATTGTGTGTTTCAAAGTTTTTTTTATTATAACTTAGTTTATCTCCGACTGGAAATTGTTCTATCATAGTGCGTAGATTTTAAATATATATTTATTTGTGAAATATATATTGTTAAAGAGATGAGCTAAGACACGGTTGTCAAAAAACCTGCATTAATATTGGTGATATTTTATTTTCTTTTAATGAAAAATTAAATAATATAAGATTAATATTATTTTCTGTTAATAAACACATTTGTTTGGCGTACTTTCCACCCAATCATTTGTGGAAATAGAAACATTCCTCTGGATACTGTTTACATCAAAGCAAAAACAATTCGACATCAAATACGACTAAAAAATATAGTAAACAAAGGAAACTCACCTCTCCACTGGCAACTGCCTCTCCGGGAATGAACAGCTCCGGGTAGATGTTATCCAGGTACCACTTGAAGCTCTTGCACCCGAGCTTCTTCCTCAGCTCCTTCCTGTTGTTTACGTCGCCAAAGTCGCCCTTCTCGTTGCCAATCCTCTGGTAGTAGTACTTGGCGTACTCATCCAACCACACCTCGGCCAGACGGACAGAATTCCTGCGAAGGACGTTGACCCCGGAGCGCCATTTGTAGGGCGAACGTTTCCTGAAACGGAAAAAAATGACTCGGTCCGTGTTTCGGTGAAAAAAATGGTTTTCCAAAAAATTCGTTGTAAAAGAAAATGTACATCGACTATAACGTGACCTGATTTGAATACGACAATGTGCCATGAATATAGGTACTAATTTGCCGAGCTGCTTATAGTCCAATCAATAGGTAGAAGAGCTTACCAAAAATACCACCTGGAAACAAAAAATATGGTGATATAGGAAAAAAATTCTAAGAAAGAGAGTGTATTTTTCCTGTGGCGCATAAACGGCGAAGTTAACCTAAAAAATTCATAAAACAAAAAAACGGTTTTTCGCTAATAAAAAAAAATTTAGAACTCCAATCGAAAAAAGTTAAATGAGAAGTTGTAGCTATTAAAAAAACCTATCGATTCGTATTTTTAAATACATATATCGATTGCTATATTACTTTTCGAGATATATCGAAAAACCGTTAAAAATCGACTTTTCGAATGCACAAGTGTTTGTTTACATTGTGATGCATCCCAATGTGAAAATTTTGAAACTCCAAACATTCTATTAGACCATGATTCTTTTGACGCGTTTGAATCACTCGTTGATGCAACGAATTATGTGGAAAATCAAGTTGATCGCGTGGAAAATATAGGAAATGAAGCCATGGAAGAAGAAAAAAATTAATCACAATTGAGGGAAATGAAGAGAAAAAGAATTGAAACATAAGAGTGATATACTTACATAAGCTGTGAAAATAAAAAATGTAATAGGCGAATATTTTTATACCACGTAATTTTCTGTACGATAATTAAATAAATATTTTGTAATACTTTTTATAGCGATAAAATTTATAGGGGGTATAACTAAAACACTAAGCTTCTCTGCCATTATTTCAAAATGACTTAATTCAGACAGACCTACCTATTAGAAATTTAATGTCGAATTTAGTCAACTTTAAACCTTCTTAACTTATTTTTTTTTAAATGGACCCTGTATATTTTTGCGTAACCTGGTGAACATTTTGTTCTCTTTCGAATGGCATCCCTATATATACATTTACAAATTTTAGTGGAACAAAAAACATTATTTTAGTTGAGAAGGGTATGCCCGAAAACACTATTACCCAAATGTTCAAAATTAAAATCGAAGTAGTCTCTGAAATATGTATAATGTCTCGTCACCATGGGACACCCTATATCTACTTAAACGAACACATCGTGTTTCAAGTTTTTTTTATTTTAAAATTTGCACCACCACTTAATTATTTACGAGAAATGTTCAAGCAATTTAGCAAAAAGCTCTTATCGTCTACAGCGAAGCACAAGTCTTTAGAGTTTGAACAGCTTAGTTGTTTATCATGAATATTAACGAAATTGGTTAAGTTCCAAATGAAGTTCAAGAACAACAAACTTTTCAGGGATTTGCTAGTAGCTACCTATAAGTTTAATGCGCATAGTTTGTTAAAGTAAGTAATGAATATGATGAGAAAGGTAATTGTTATTTGTTATAGCTGTTTTACATTGACAATTTATTCATCAATAAATTGAAGAAGTTCTTCATCAATTAATTCACGAATTTATTGGTAAACAGTGTGGCTTTACACTGCTACAGACTTTGTCAAGTTTTTTGACATATCAGTTCTACCAATGAATCAAAGAAGCAAATAAATTTCAAAAATGTCACCTTTCCATTCATAATTGTAGTGATACAACAGCGGTACCGTTCTGACACATATTATATAAATAGTAGTTTTTGTAAATAACAAATCAGTAAAAACAATGCAAAACTAGCACGACGCCACACAATTATTTACATATTCCAATAACATAACCTCATTACTGATCTGAGGCTGGAAATCTGTTGGGTTGGTACTTCCAAACTTCACGAAGAAATTGACGAAAATTAGAACATGCTCTAATTCGTCAAGAACTTGATGAATAAATTGATGAAGTTATTTGACAGCTGATTTGGTGCATTACACTTGTCCAATTTCTTGATGAAGCGACTTCATCAATCAATTGATCAATAAATTGTCAATGTAAAACAGCTTTTACAGATTTATAAGTGCTCTATTGGAAAATCATTTACGGATCAATTTTCTTTTATCTAAAAGTAACTAATTTAAAATATATTCATGGAGTTAAGATTTCCTGCTTCGACCTGAGTCAGATATAACAGCAGATAGATTTATTATTAATCCATAGTGGTAAATCTATGAATGGTCACAGCTACTTAAGATTTACTAATTACTTCCTGCTGTAAATATCTTAAAAAACTTGGAGTTTTGATTATAGACATGCTGATATTTACAGATAGACTCAGTTTTAAATTGACAAAGCTTGATAATAGAAAAACATATATTTGTCGAAGATTTGTCGTTTCCACTTTGTATCTCTATAAATTCAGCACAGGAGAAGTTTATGTGTTTCAAACTGATTTCTTTTCAAAACTCTAGTTCTCAAAGTGAATCAATTTTAAAGTGAAACACTGTATACAGAAATGACACACATCTTACCTGAATATGTGACCCACATGTGAACAAGGAACAATTTCCAATGTACCACCGCACATCCAGGTCTTGAAGGAAAGTTCCAAATTTTCACCACCCCATATATCGAAACCGTTGTCGTAAGTTCCGAGTTTTTCGAAAAATTCCTGAAACAAAGATACAAGTAATTAATAATTTCTGTACATAATAAGAATAAATATCTGGTAATTTTCATTCTGATAATGTCAAAAAGTGATACATTGACACAGTTGTTGTTGTAATGAGACATATGCCTGTATTTTTACCAACACCGTTTTCCTATAAACAATGTTAATCAACGGCAAAACGAGAACAAAAGCAAAAGCGGCTGTGGACAACATAAAACTTTAAAAAAGGTGGCTATTTGGGATTTTTGTCACATACATACAATGAAAAAAAAAATCAGAATAAGTTGCAAATTGTAAATTTTTATACTAAAACCTGTATAATTTGACCATATTTCAGTCTTCTAGCAGTGGCAGGGCAGCACAATGCGTAACAAAGAAAACTTTTTACAGGAGCTAGTTTGTAAATGTAGTGACCTTGTCTCCCCTGCTGAGAAGTTATTCAAATGGAGTATAGTGCTCAGCTGTATTTAAAGTTCATTTAGTTGTTATTTAAGTATACTTTTTAAAATGACTTAAAAATCCCAAGAAATAAAGCAAAATTCCCTATTTCCCCAATTCCAAACAGATCTGTAGATCTGGCATCATTCTTTCTAGGGCTGCGCCTCACCTTAGACAAATTGTGCTGCCCTCTGTTAACGGATTGTATTAACATATCGGAATACTAAGTCGGAATTGTATAAGTAGTGACATCTATTACAGAAAAGGCAAACGACGAAAACAAAGATGACCACCGGTCGCTGAATTACAAGTGGAGGTGTATCTTATTTGTGGAAGGGTGAAACGGGCGGTGACTACGAGACGCCTTCATTATAGCCATCCTTCTCTATCGCATGGATTTCTATGACTTACTTTATCGCTCTCACGTAACAGCCGATGAACCATGGGGACTTTCCGACCCTGTATATTTACAAATTTGCTAGACAAAACAGGAAAGGTACATTTTCTGATGTTTACATGCTCTCCGTAATCTTTCAATGAGAAAAATTAAAGGAAGTTGCTCTAGTTTATGTTACTCTTTGTCACTTCCTGGATGGATCTATTTATTCTATCATAGTCTTACTAAAAGTGCGATTTCTTGTCTGTAAAGCGCCAGCTTAAATACATTCAAAGCTAGTTTAGAAAATGTGATTTTTTTTTCAAATGCTGTGTTTCGAAACAGAACTTATAGAATATTATTTTTCTTAATTTCCCACTTCAAATTTCAAGTTTGGCAATTAACTATAAAATATCCGGTATATTCTATTATAAAAACGCACTTACTCGTATTACATCGAAATCATTAAAATAAGGATTTAGTATTCAACTCAAGCAGCTCGACTATTTTACTTGAACTAAGTTTTAAGTGCTTCTTTTTCAGCGCAACTGTCGGGAGGGCGAAAACCCGGCATCACCCTCGGTGCGCCCAAGATATGACCCTCGACTTCCGGGTCATATCTTGTACTTCCTTAAAACGCATTAATATGCAGCCAGAGTATGAATAATATAATCGGAGGAGGAGGATTATTACTTTGCTACTTCACGGGAACTTTAAAGATTTTCGTTAGTAGTTTTGAGATTTTCCCAATTCCGAGTTTACGTAATAAATTAGTTACTGAGCTTCTTGGAATATTATCTGGTGCTCGTCTGGCGGATCAGAGAATTCCTCTTCACTAACGAAAAAATATAATTGTACAATTTCAAGTGCTTATTACGACAATAAAAATATAGTACAGTATATTTCATTAGGACTCTGGAAATAAGGATTTTTTCCGTTATCACACATTCTGCTTTAATTCTAAGGGGATATATTAAATGATTATTAATAAACAATAATTTTACTTAAAGGAATTCGAAGATTAAGGAAAATAACTCGTAGACTTGAAAATATTTTATGCAATAGCGTCACTGACACTACTGACACTACTGACAGTGTTGACAGAAAGTCTTCTTCCAAGTTATTTCCTTTACGCAATCATTTACACATAATTTCACTACAAGGTACCCATTCACAGTCGTTTTGAAATATTGTAAAAAAAAACAGTTTTAAATAATTATTTTAAAACTGTTCTGACGCATGTCTCAACCTATAATTGTGCATATACACTAGATAGTGCGTGTAAAATTATATTATCTACTTTTTGAAATTTGGTCAACAACTCTATTGCAGATACTATTTCTGCAAATCGATTTGAAGAACTCTTACATTTCAATGGAAATACCGTTTTATCTAGAAAAGCATTCCCTTAGAACAAAGCTTGTCAGTAGATGATCAAATTATATCTTTCAAAGGAAGAATATCTCTAAAAACATATAACCCTAAAAAACCTTATAAATGGGGGTACAAGTTATGGGTACTTTCTGTGATAAGTGGATTCCCATATAACTTTGAGCTTTTGACAGGCAAAGAAAATACACCTAACACTGATTTTGGTGGGAACGTGAGATTGTGCCAGAAGATAAGAACTATAAGGTATATTTTGATAATAATTGACTCTGTTGCAACGTTAAAACCAGATAGACCCTTAGACCATCTGGAAAAAAATTAAAGTGTGGTCGAGGAATTTACAAATAACAGCAAACAAAAATTGATTGCATTATAAAAACTGTTCAATGGTATGACAAAAAAGTAGTACGTTTAGCTTCAAATTTTGTAGGAAATCATCCCAAAAAACGTAAGACGATTTTTTTATAAGTGAGAACTGCAAAAAAGGTATAAATTGTCTATAGTTGGTGTTTACAATAAACATATGGGTGGAGTTGACCTACTTGATTCCATTCTAGGCCTTTATGCTTTTCGTAGCAAGAAGTGGTGTCTTTGTATTGCTTTCCATATGATCGAGATGATTATTTGTAATTGCTGGATTCTTCATAAAAGAACTTATTCCCTCTATGATTGTATTGACTCAGGTACTATGTCAAAGTGGTTGAAGCCCTCTAACAATCCGCAGAAGAGCAAAGGAAAATGCTCCTCCTCTGGAAGTTTAGCACGGCTGTATAAATCACTGGCTACTTCATTCCCAGAAGAGTGAACGGTGCAAATTATCAAATTGTGGTGGAAAAACTAGTTTTTATTGTGAAATTGAAACTGTTTACTGAACAAAAATTGTTTTAAGGTATTTCGTATTTAATTTATTTTTTAAAATACTGTTCATAGAAAAAATATATAACTGTATCTGAATGTATTGGATATTTGACATGAAATTACTTATGCGGTTTCTTACTAACTCATTGCAGAAGAGACAATTCTAATAGTAATACAAAACAGTACAATAATATTATTCTATATATATATATCCATATTCGTACATGCATACAACTTTATTAATCGAACTAATTGCAACTACATATAATCTATCAAATTACATACAAAACTACTGAATAATAGCCCTCTCCCTTCTTTTTTCCAACAACCTGCCATTTCTCACGTCGTCCAGACAGCCACTCTTCTCTTTTCTGAAGATATGCTCCTGCTCTCTGAAGAAGGCCAACCTCTCATTAGCAATTTTGTGCAGGTATTCCATTATCTCGGGATACTTCCCCAAACATTCGTAAAACTCATCTGTTTCGATCAAAAGTATATCAGTAGCCTCTAAAACCAAAGCCGAGTGTATCTCCTTGCCTAGCAGCACCGTGCATAACCCGAACACGTCTCCGTCCTCCAGGTGGCACAATTCGATTCCATCTTTGGTTATAATCGCGACCGAACCCGAAGATATGAAATAGACATGTTGGGTCAATTGCCCAGTTTTGTAAATAAAATCCCCCGGCGTGAAAGTCTCCAGCCTCATCAGGGAGAAGATGGTAGCAACCTCCGTGTGGGGCAAGTACTTGAATACGATGCATTTTTCCATTATCGTACTGGCAAAAAACAAGAATATCTGGGTTCTCAGGTAGCCGGACAAGCTGTTCACAATTTCGACCTCGTCGAAAAAACGCTTCTGGAACTTGTACTCGAAATATCTAATCATTTTACTTCTCATGGACAAAGGGAAATCGTTGGCTCTTATATACTCCTTCATTTGTGCTAATTCCCTTTCATAGTTAGACTCCGATTGCCCAGCGATGCCGAACACTCTCAGGATATCGGCTATCAAAAAGAGAGTGTACAGTCTTCCGAAAAACGATATAATGGTGAAGGTGATCTGCTCGTTGGTCTCATAAACAGGGAACTTTTCAGAAGCACCGAAGAAGTAACATATCGTCATTAATAAACATTCGCCGTAAATTTGTCTGAACGAAGCGCCTCTACCAGGATCAATTTTAGCCACCGCTAACCAAGAATCTCTAGGCCATATCTTCCCGTACACCAATCTGGGGATTAGGTAGAGCATGCAGGCAAAAAAGTGCAGGAACATATACGTTCTGAGGACGTGCACTACAGCTTTCCGAGTTTTCTTGCCCAGTTTCATGAATCGCACTATATCATCCACGTAGTTCAAGATGGTGTTGAGTCTGAAGTACAAGCAGGGTAAGTGCATAATACTTAGTACCTTATAAATAAACCAATATTCTTGATCCTTAACGAGAGTCCACCCAGCAATTACATAAAGAATATCCGTAGAGATAAGGTCGAACACGAAAAACGTCTTCAGATACCTGCAGATCACTCTCTTAGTATCTATAACTACCTCTTTTGTCTTCTTTTCTACGTATCCCAGAAAAAAGAAGGAAATAATAACCATACTTTTTAAAAATACTATTATACATTCGACAATTGTGTACGTAGTCGAGTCAACCTCCAACATATTGTCGACAATCGGTTCGAACAACATCGTGGTCGTCCATAAGACCAAAAATAATATTTCCTGAACTGTGCAGAGCGTGCTGAAGGGATGGATCATGTATTTGTGTGGACCCATGATGTGTCTTCTCTGTTCGGACTTTATAGCTGATTTGTTGAAGGCGAGAGCATAACACTTGTAATGGTTTGGGTTCACAATGATAAGTTGCCTCAATTTTCTTAACAGGCGTTTGCAAAAGGAGGCATTGGGGGGTAATTTGGGGAGACCGGAAGTGCTCCT